GCCAGAGCATACATGCACGGGCATTCCCTGAAGACAAGTAGCAGCAGCACATAATTGTGCTGCTGCTATCTATCCTAGGGGAAACGTGTGTGCTCATGTGGCTATTAAGTCTGTTTACAGGCAGAAGAGGAGTCTTTAATCCCATCACCTTGAGAACACATGAAACACTTCTCTAAAAGGGGACAATACCAGGCAGTAGCCCATGGATTATGAAGCACTCAGACTAGCCTGCTGGAACTTCAGTTGAACACATGAAACAAGGCATACCCAGCTTATAACTACGACACCAAACAAACACCCCATGTTTGAGGCAGATAGCTCTTTTGGTTAGCTGGAAAAGGATTTCCCTTGGGCCTAAGAAACCCAGTTGTCCCAGGTAGAAACTGGCTGTGCCCCTATTTTCTTCAGTCCTGGTTAAGGAAGTGGCAACAGAGGAGCTGCTAATGTTTGAAACACTGCTGGGAGAGCCTAGCCAAGCCAGAGATCTTATTCTGAACACCAGAGGTAGGTTCAAGGTAGGCCACGTACTGACTGCAAACAGGGTAAGCTTCTTCCTGGCCGGGGCAGAATGGATCTAGCTTTTCTCCATGGGTCACCTTTAACCAACCTGCTGTGGAAAGCCCAGCAAAGGCACATTGAATACTCTACACTGAGTTGCAGGGAGTTTCAGAAAGTGCATCATTTTCAGTTGTGGGAGGCAAGGCAGGAAATGTCCAAGTTCACTGACTAAGACAAAACAGCTTCTTGATCCCTTAGAGAGAATATTGCTTCCAGAGGAAAAAGAAATGAAGTCCAAAGAAGAACAGAAGATCTGTAACAACCACATTACTACAGTCCTCAGCTAGAGCCTCTTAAGAGACAGATTTATAGACAGGGCTCCAGAAATAATGACCCTGCACCCAAGTCCAAAACTACAAGTCTGCTCTGGCTCCAAACATGCATAAGGAAAAGGAATCATTTGGGAAGATTTGGGACATGAAAGAAGGACTCTGATTTAACCAGAATGTACCAATACAGCACACCAACAGCTCTTTTGCGCCTCTTATGTATTCTACAGAACGTAAAATTAAAAACAAAACAAAACAAAAAAACCCTCTTCAATGGCTGCGTCTTCTCTCTGTTGGGGGATGTTGGCATCCTTTCTACATATTTTTGTCTTTCAAATCAGAAATACCACATCTATAAAAATTCTTCTCTTACAGGGTTCCTGCAATGACAACATTTTTAATATAGCCTTGCATAAGAAACAAATCAAGACCATTTGTATTTCCTGATGCCCTTATGCCAAGGTATTCACTTTAGATTGGCAACTATTAACAAAAGAGTTTCCAGATTGTCTCCTGAAGTTCAGCTGTTTTCAATCACAGATGAGATTCAAGAAATCCAGAATCCTAAATACAGTAAGATTTTGTTAGTCACTACTAGTTCTGTTTAGAGTATGTCAAATTGTAACATTTAGTGTGACCTGTAGATTCATCTCCTACCCCCATAAAAGAATAGACATCTCTCTACCTACCAAGTGTGTTTACTACAAAAAGTCAACATGTTCATGCTAAAAATTATTGTGCTGTTACATTTGAAATGTTTCCAATGATTCATTCAAGGTCCAAACTGGCATGCTGTGTCCACTCCCACCCCTCTTTTTTTTTTTCTTTTTCTTTGAAGGTACATGACATCCCTGCCAAAACTAACTGGCTCTCTGGATAGTCCTCCACTATGCAGCAATATCAGGCAGCACTGTGCCCCACGGATGCACAGAGCCTACTTGAACAATATCCAAGATAAATATATTACATGCATACATGGTGCGACTATAACCTGATTCTGTACATGTGGGCTATTCCTAAACTCCAGCCAGGCTCAGTGGCAACTATGACAATAGAATGAGGCATAGCAGGAAGGAAACATTGATTTTTTTTTTAATTCTATTCTTTCTTTCTGTGCAAAGGCAGTGTTTGTACGAGCAAAGGACTAACAATTTTAGTGAAATTATCTGCTCTACTATATCTGATTAATATCGGATTATGTTTATGTTCCCTTGTGCACTATAGCTTTTTCCTTGCGTAAAGCATTCCTACTTAAGGTCCAGGATCTTTTCAAGCAGAGGCCGTCAATTATGCCATACTGTAACAATTAGATGGATTTCTACATTATGAATGTTATGATGTGGCTAATGTGTTTGAGGAAATAGAGGTTACTTCTCTTCATTTAGAGCCGACTTCCTGTGGAACACGTCACTAGTAATGTGACTGAGAACAAGGTCATTTTTCTGGATGAATATCTAGATTTACAGACTTTCTTCTGAAAGGAAGAAATGTTTTGTGCATTAGAGTGACACTTATCTTGCATAAATGGCAACATATGCATTCACTTGGTCTCTACATAGACAATGTGTTAATTTAGGGTTTTTATTACAAATAATCAATCAATTTATAGGGAACTGGTAGAATGATCAGAATGATTTTCATCAGGAAAATCATTAGAAAAGAAAGTCAGAGGCTAAACTACTTTTCACTTATGTCCGAAAATAGCACTCAAATGTCTGAATGGCTATAGTTTTATACAAGATACTAAAGCCTCTTCTTGAAGTAACAGTTCAAGAGGACCATGAAGAACAAGGAGCTGATATAAATATTTAAATAACTAAGACAAATTTAAGGATAATAGAAGTATAATCCAGAAAACAGAGATATAGTCCAACAATAGCAAAATTTCTCTAAAAATTTATGAGATTAGTCAATCATGAGTTCTAACCGGGGGGGGGGGGGGA